GACCGCTTCGCGGGGTCTTCGTGTTCTTATTCGACCATAGTTCTACACGTGACTGCTCCTTACCCTAAATCGTCCGTTTGCAACGTTAATGATTGCTCTCCACACCTTAACTCCAAGTTAGCCTTCGCCAAGTAGTCCGTTCCTATCACTACTCTGTCGGCCAACTCTGGAGAGACTAGCAGCTCACTCTGGTGTACCTGGTCACCTAACTTTACCTCTGCGTATACCGCATCGACTATGATTCTCGCTCTGCCATCGCCCATCACCACTCGCTTTCTCACTCCTTCAGGCTTCTCGCCATCGTATCGCTTACGAAGCTCCTTATAGCCCCTGTGTTGATTGCAGCTGTTACCTCTTCCCGTCTGTTAAATACGTTTACTAAGCTCGAGGTTGTGTTGTTGGAGACCCCACCCCTCGATACCGATAGGGCCTCATGCCGTTTCCCTGCGGATCACGGCAGCAATCACGCGTGCGTATGCCGCATCGACCACATCTCAAGCAAAATTCGATATGTGCACTACGGCAGCCATGTGCGAAGTGTCCACTCACACCGCACATGGCGTCTTCGGGGGTCCGCGTATGCTTGCAATGTTCTGGGTGAGGAGTTTAACATCCCGGATTGCTGTGGGGCATCTCTCCTCTATGATTCCTCATCTCTCTCTTCCGCGCGCATGTGTTGGTAGCGTTCCTCATGATGCCGGGGTACGAATGATCTCGCTGTTGGTCTCAGTTGTTCTCACTCGAGGGCGATGTTCTAGAAGTCTTCAGCCAGACTTACCAACTCTTCGAGACTACCGAACTCGCTCCGCTTGACGTACCACTGACACTCTCTTCGGCGGTGTAGTCAGCGTGTCGCATAAGCCACTGTAGCGCCAGCACGTAGTCTTTAAACTTCTCACCGGGTCGTTGGACGCCCTGCCTAATCTCATCGTCCAAGTGCCCGAAATACCGAGAGCTTAGGAAGAACTTTGGGAAGTCCTATTTGAAGGAGTCCCATTCCTGCCATGCCTGTTATTATTCCAGAACCACATCAAGGCCTTGTCTTTCAGCAACCCAGACAGCGCTCGTGGGATCGAATTATGATCGATGATAAAACTCAGGGGATCCTTACCGCGGTAGTACCGGAAACCCCATTTTCGTACTCGGTCCATAGTGGTAGCACATGATAGTGGCGGGGTACAACGTACACCGGTGGTGTTCTATCTTCACGGAGCCTGGTCGCTACATATGTATCGTCTTTACTTGCAGTACCTGGAGGTGGCAGTACACTGTTACCTGGTAGTGGTAATCCGCTGGTCCCCTATGTGTTGCCGGGTTCATCGAAATGGTCGGCCGTGCATGCCGAAGGGCCAATTCAGTGAAGCAATCCTTGAGTCCTTCGTTGTCACTCTCCGTCTGGATAAAGGTCGAGAGACGCTTACGAAGCTCGTCCACTGTTCCAGAACTCTCGAGGCCGAACTCGGTGGCGTATGTCAGTAGTTCCTCTCGGTTGAGGTAGTACACCCACGTCACTTTCACCATTGCTGCAAATTTTCTTGTTGGTACCCTCGTTGTCTTCTTGCTGATATACTGTTTGCTCTCTTGTGGTTTTCTCGTTGACTTCTCACTTATTTGTCGTTACTTTCTCGTCGTTTTCTCGTTGACTTCTTAAAGTCCCTGCTCGGGCGCCATTTGTAACGAACTTTTGTAGTGAGCTAAGTCGGTCCAGGGTTCCTGAAATGGAAATTCCTACTCCTTTCTTCAAAATAATAAATCTTCACCTTCAATCCATTTACTCTTTTATTACTAAATCATTTAATTAGGAATTCCTATCAAGAACGCTTAAAGGCGTGGGAGTGAATATCCCTCCACTAACCTTACCCGTCGGCGAGAGTGGTAACCTCCGCCGAATATAAGACTAAACGCAAATGAGGTGGAAACTCCCAGGCGCGCTTCGTTTGCCAGTAGTGTGTGCCCACCGACAATTTTGCCTGCCTACTAGCGACTGCTTAACTTTACAAAATATTTCCTCGCTTTTATACTCTTCTGCGCGCAGGCAGACTGTTATGCTACAATAACAATGCTTAACTACTAATGTTAATTGCAACAATTGAATACTGAATTTATACAATTCAACAAGTATATGTAAATTCAATACAATTCAATTTATCTATATATAAATACGCCACAAGAAAATTTTGCAATCCCTTTTTTGAAGGCACCGTTCGCTCGATTTCATTGAAACATACACCGATTTAAAGGATATAACTTCCTCTAATCCAGAAATGTGAATCCCGATACATAGGGGGCGTGGCATCTGACATATAGACTAAAACGTGAAAACCACTATATCTCTAAAACCAATTATGCTGGGAAACTGAAACTTGGCACATATGCATAGATCGTAAATACCCTACTAACGGTGAAAAATGGTAGATACTGGGAAAGTGGGCGTGGCACTTCCCATACAAACTGAAATTCTCATATCGCTTATCTCTGCAACCGCTTAAGCTAACGTTCTGGAATTTGGCACAGCTATGTATGGTATCAATAATGTACTTATGGCGAAAAGTGGTAGATAATGGGTTATGCTAACGTCCTGAAATTGGACACAGCGACATATGTTGTTAGTACCGTACTTACGGCGAAAAGTGGTAGATTTTGGGAAAAGGGGCGTGGCGCCGCCTATACAAACTGAAATTTTCATGTCGCTTACCTCTGGAACCGCTTATGCTGACGTCCTGAAATTTGACAAAGCAACAAATGTTGTCAATACCGTTCTTTCGGCGAAGAGTGGTAGATTTTGGAAAAGGGGGCGTGGCACCGCCCATACAAACTGAAATTCTCATACCGCTTATCTCTGGAACCGCTTATGCTAACGTTCTGGAATTTGACACAGCTATTTATGGTATCAATAATGTACTTATGTACAAAAGTGGTAGATGATGGGAAGGGGGGTGTGGTACCGCCCATACAAACTGCAATTCTCATATCGCTTATCGCTGGAACCGCTTATGCTTACGTCCTGAAATTTGACACAGCAACATATGTTGTCAATACCGTACTTATGGCGAAGAGTGGTGGATTTTGGAAAAGGGGCGTGGCACCGCCCATACAAAGTAAACTTCACATATCGGTTATCTCTGGAACTACTTATTATATAGTTATGGAATTTTATACACCTACATTTATACACATATACAATCGCATGAATCATTCAATTGGGAACCATATTCTCCCAGATTTTAAAATCGCATTGAATGATTGTTGTTTTGTGCAAAAGGTTTAGAAGGATCAGTGTGTTTGTCTTCCGATAGGCGGCGCAGGGATTGCGAGCTATCCTGAAAAATCATATTTATGATCAGGTTTGTTTCACTTTTAGAACACATATTAGTAACATAAAATTTGGTGTAAATTGTAGTCCAGTCGTATGATGAATATATAAAGTCTTGATAAAAGCCCGTGCGAAACCGCCGTTAGAGAAGGAAATACTATCTTTTGTTGTAAACCTTCAAGATACTTTCTCAACCGTTAACGATTCTGATGAAAAAAACAAGAGAGTTTATATAGATGAGGGCAACTTCCAAGAGGCTCTCAGACAAATAAAATGGAAAAACTTATTTACTGTCTGAATTAGTATATGTTTGACATATTAGTCAGTGATGAACATCTCATCTATGCATACAAATACATATCGTCGTTTAAAGTACAAAACAGCGTATCGTCATTCTGCAAAACCGCGTAACTGACATTGGCTTCCAAAAATTGGATTTGCTCACACAAGCTCTTGGCTCAATCCTTAACCATTCGTCCTGAAATATACTAGCCAGAAATGCGATTGCTTTATAAAAAAGAGAACCATTTTGAAATATGAGTGTTTTTACGCTCTAGAAAATAATTTCTACAACTTCACATACGCGGTTTTTTTTCTGATACGCGGTTTTGCATTTTGTTGATACGCGTTTTGCACTTTAAACGACGATATGCATATTTTTTTATAAATGAAAATCGAGTTTCCTTGTTCGGCCTTTATTCAAAAGCTACTGAAGGTATTTGGAGGAGACTTGGTAGAATTAGCATTAATCAATCCGGTATTAACATTCATAATTCGATTTTAAGTTTTCCTGTAAATTTGATATAAATTATGCTGGTGGACTTCAAAATAGTAATTCGCATAAAGGGGTTAGTATTGATGGCAGGTAAAATTCAAAAGTGTATGAAAAAATATGTCGAATTTCGACAACTGGGCGATACTAGTATAAGTAAATGTAATACAATTCAATTTATATAAGTAAATGTAATACAATTCAATTTAACTAATTCGATTCAAATACTTCAAATAATTCAGTTTAATTACATGCTTATTTTAGGCAACAGATATATGGGGACTCCAAAGCCCCTGGATTTGGGTCCTCGCAAACTCTTCCGGCGGATGCTGTGGTGTAGTGGTAAGCAGTGCGCGCTTACACTCCGCAAGGCCTGGGTTCAATCCCTGGTCAAAGCAACATCGCAAAAATATAGAAAAAAGATATTTTCTTAACGGCGGTCGCCCCTCGGCAGGCAATGGCAAACCTCCGAGTGTATTTCTGCCATGAAAAACAGCTTCTCATAAAAATACAATCGCCGTTCGGAGTCGGCGTAAAACTGCAGGTCCCTCCCCTTTGTGTGACAACATCAAGGCGCACGCCACAATTTGGAGGAGAAGCTCGGCCAAGCGTGTAATGGGCAGATAACTTCAGTTATCTTAAGAGATAAAGATTTCAAAGGATATTTTACAAATGTTAGTTTCGTTTTATTTCAATAGAATAGTTATTAAAATTTAGCAGTATAGTTCTCCATCCGCAATTGTTCATGAAAAGACTTTCTTAAATATGTGTTATTATTTATTGCTAAAATGAAATGAGAATAGTTATCAAGTTAATAAAAAAAAATTTAAATAAAAAGAAAAGCACTGGTCACGTTACACTTATTTATTAGGTAATTGTGCAACTAAGTCAGCTATGATTTCTTTTTTGTCCATATGGAATCATTATGATATCGACAATACTAAGAAAACATGTTATATATCCTTTTGGAAAGGGTACTTAATTATCCAAAAAACAACTTTTTTAGTTTTTCATTGGCTACGTTACACTTAACATTTGCGGTACATTTCATTACGACTTAATAAGAGTTCTAAACAACTTTTCGCTAACTTGGCACGTATCCTGTTAAACTAATTTATTTTCTATCGTTCAGAACTTATTCGGGCAAAATAAATCAAGGAAAGCTTATATTTTTGTACTTTTCCTTGTTGAAGTATCGAAAACTGTTTTTAGGTTCGTGAAAAATCCTTCTACAAAAGTAGCAAAATATTAAACACAAAATGCTTGGACATGATAAGAATTAGTGTCAGAAGCAGCTGACAGATATAGTGAATTCCAATAATCACCAATATGTACAATATTTGAAAGAAAGAAAAAAAACGGGCTGGTTTACTTTCCTGTAGAAACGCCCATATGTGTTTCCATACCAATCTGGAGTACTTTACCCCATATTTGAAGTAATATGCAACATGAAACTTTAGTCAGTATGGAAGGTGCTACGCCTCTTTTCCAAAAAACGTCCATTTTTCTCTGTGAGTATGAATTTGATTTCATATACATATCTCTATACCAAGTTCCAGTTTTCTCCCACAAATACTTCCAGAGATATGTATGTATTATGAAAATTCCAATTTGTATGAGAGGGACCTTGAGTTATCGGAATTACTTTCAGTCTAAGGCCCTCCTTATGAAATCCGTAGTAAATGTACCAAATTTCGTTGTGATCGGGAAACCGGTAGTCTATTTTTCAATCCAGGTCATAAACCATCTGGGTGCAAAATTTCATGCAAATCCGTTCAGATTTAACCATCAAAAGACACACTAAACTATTATTCGAGTTTTGTGTCGTCGCGAACTGCCCTCAGCAGTATAAAAAATCAAAGCGTGATCGCGAAAAATTACTAAATAAATAATAAGACATTGTGTATATCAAAATAAATAAACTATTGTTTACATACAAAATAAGAACGGAAGTTAAGTGAGAGATGAGTGTCGAAGGAGCTCCCCCACAAGAGCGCAGGCACTCACTCCAAGGCAGTGTTGCCGCCGCTCAAAGAACTTTCTAACCGAGATTAGACGAAAAAGTTACCAAATGTAAGGAAAAATAACCATTTTTTTATTAGATTAACAATTCAGGTCATCACAAATTCTTTTATATAGTACGTTTGCAAACCAAAGAAAATCAATTTTTATTTGCTGTCGAGGACATGGACCTCAGCGAGGCTCAAGTTTAAATTTGTTTTTATAATTTTTGAAATATTGTAATGGATGAAGCGTGGCAGGTCTGGCACCTCCCTATTATTGTAACCCTTATACTACTAAACTCAAACTATTGTGAATCTTGAATAGTTTGAATAGGTTGCCTAGTAGGTATGTAATAGGCCGCCACTCACTTCTATTTTTGACTTACTACCAGCCAGACTGCCGCTTCGCAAAATATTCCCCTTTTTGAAATACATACCTCGAATTTGTAAATTGAAGAACGTGATTAAATCAAACGTGTATGAATTTAAAAGAAGTTGTTGCTTTCTTATTTTTTTTTGTATTCCAACGCACTCCAGTAATCACGGAAACGTGATCATTTTCATTTTTGAAAAGTAAATCCTTTTAAGGCTGTAATATGTAAATACATATTTTAGAAAATCACTCTTCCCGTATTAGATGCATATGTATGTATATGTATATGTATGTGTATGAATATCTTATTACCAGACTCTATATGACGTTTTTAAATAAGTACATAGCTACACAGTCTCCAACTTCTTTGTAAGAATCAATGAAATACCTAATGAGCGTGAACAACCACATTGTATATATTTTAAGATTAAGATTAAACAAACTGTGGAATGGTATTTTCACTGAACCTACTTGCTATAAGATTATTATTTTTAATCTTAACTTAAATTACTAAAGTAATCAGTAATGGAAACAGAATAACCAAGTCCTTTTTTTATTGTACATACATGCCGTGGTATTGGATTCCGCATATACGAGGTATTTATATATGTACTATCTAAGTATGTATTCTTTTGAAGTAGTCTTTATCCGACCATGTATATTATGTATTCTGTATATTACAAAACAAATACATACATATGTAATAGAGCGGGTCAAATTTTTTGGATCAAAGGCACATCGCGATTATGGTTATTTGGGTAATTTCAAGCATTTTTGTCCAAGAAACCATAGGTCTAAGATGAATTTCGAGCCAGCGATTTTTCTATCTAGTTTTTTTTTTTTTTAAATGGCTCACCTGTTGAAACAGCTGTATTGAAAACTAGCCAAAATGTGTATCTGAGGGTTTTTGGGATCGAGAAATCTATTTCTGGCATTAGTTTTATCTTTTGAGGGCCGCCAGAGAGCACTTCCGTACTTGTTTTGGATTTTAACTCCTTTTTTTCCGAAAATCGACAGCACGAAATTACACTTTCTCATAATGCAACTAAAATTTTTAAATATTTTTTGTTATTTTTTTATCTTATTTTTTTTACAAAACAATTTTTTTCTTATTTTAATATAATTTTTTTTTATTCAAAAATTTAACTTAAAAGATAGAAACATGAAATGTGAATGAAAAAAAAAACAAACAATTTCGAATGTTTCAATTTTTAAACACGTACAACGTATTTTTTTTAATATTATGTTGGTAACACTGTTTATCGAAATATTGTATGACAAATGGCATGTGTGGCAGCATGCTTTATCATTTTCATAGTGTGTTTAATATGTAAAATAAAAAAAGAATTAAAAAATAAAAAATGCGTGTGTAACACCGTACACATGATAGAAGTGAAACTTCTTAAAAAAGGTGTGAGTACCAGGTACGTACTCACGAAATTGGATGTGTAGACATATGTTTACGGTTCGGCAAACCATTAGGCCATTGAGTTACATACATAGATTTGGTTACAAATCAAACAATAATTTCATTTAATCTTATTAATTTTCTGATATATCTACATATAATTTATTTATTAATTTTCCGGTAACACCACCTTATATGAATTCGCGCTTCTAGCATCCATAGAACCGGGTTGTGATGGAAGTAATTGTATGTTTAACAAATAAATGAAAATGTTTATAATGCAATCAATAGATCCTTACGAATTCGCCATTACCAAGGCACTAAGTAACGTACGCACTTTTGTTTGCAAAATGCATTTATTTAAGTTGAAAGAAGACAAATTCCTTTGTTCGGCATTTATTCTTACTCGCTTGCTGTCTTCCAAGGCGAATTCATATATTCTTATCATGAATTCATATAGTCATGTGGTAGCAAGAGTATAAAAACATAAAATTACCTTATAAATTAAAAGCATAAATATCACATGTATGCGTAGTCCAATTCACGAAATCATTTCATCGATCTGAGTAAAAACTACATAAGTGCATAAACTCTATTTCGCGTTAATTGAAATCATGAAATGGTGTTCATTCATTCAGTTTCTACTCAAAAGCATGAAATGATTTCATGAATTTCCCTACGCATAATGGTAGTAAATGACAGAATGAATTACAACAAACACATCCTTTTGACATAATGCAAGCCGAAAACGTTGGTTCAAATCAATCCGCAATCAAGTTGGACGTTTTGCCCACAAACATTGCAATTTTGCGAGCAGTCTCATTGTAAAATCTCATTTTTACAATTTCATAGATTCGGCTAACATTTATAAAATAAAGCACGTACCTATTTCGGCTGAGTTATCCATTTTCGGTTATGAACAACATGGCCATTAATGTAGCGATAAGTTGTACAACTTGCCAGAAAGTCCAAATTTTTTGATCTTTCATAGGTACAACCAAGACATAAATTCATTCAACAGGCCCACAAACGGTGCAATCTAGAGCAAAACAACACCAAGTTGAACCAACGGTCGCTACGTTTAACATCGGGCGAAAATTTCAACTGCTCCTGTAACACTACCTTATATAAGTTGGCCTTGCTATCCTCACATATGTTCGTCAGAGTATACCAACGAAGGACGAGTTAATAAAAGGAGATAGCAAGAGCACAAAACTACTCTAGAAAATTACACGCACAATGACAAACATGAACAAATGTACAACAAACACATAATTTTTGACAATCAGTACAGTTCGAATTTATATCAATGAGCAGCTTTTTCCCAGCAAACATTTGGAGTCATAAATGAGTCTTTAAGGAGTCCTATTTCGGAGCTATTACGCTCATAATGATCTCATTTAAGAGTCGGATATGAGTGTGTTTTCCTTCCTACGAATGTCGACTTATATGAGCCTAAATTCATACATCAAATGAGCCTCAATATGAGTCATATTGGACTCTTATTGGCCTCATATACGGCTCATTTTGGACTCTTTTAAAACAAGTTTTGGCCTCATATATGACTCTTTTTGAGACCCTTATCGGCCTCATAAATTCCTACATTCGCACTCTTATTTTAGGTTGCTCTTTGAGTCTTATTCAACTCACTATATTTGCAAAGGCATTCCGCAAAAAGTCCTTGCAAATAATATACATACATACTTACATGCATATACACATTCCAATAGCAGCAGCTGAAGCTAAATTTTGTTCATTTTTTGTTTTCTAATTATTTTCAATTTCTGTATAAACAAGTTTAGATATAAATTTCAAATCTTTATTGTTTTTATATTGGCACAAGGTGCTGGCTCATAACTTGGCTCATATATGAATCCTAAAAGATTCATATAAGAGTAAAAAATTTTTTGTTTTTGAAACTCATATTTCTTACCTACCTAGGACACCTTTCGGACTCATATATTCTGAACGCTCAGAATATGTTTGCGGGGCAACTGTACGATTAATGATAACATTTTTTTAATCGTTAATCGCTGGCTGCGATTACGTTTAATTAATTTAAAACATTAATCGTTAATCCAATTAAAAATAAAATCTGATTAATTTGTCTATGAAATGTCATGAAATCAACATTGATTTGACATACTTATCACTATACCATTTCAGTTCTCCCCCACAAATACTTCCAGAGATATGTATGTAATATGAAAATTCCAATTTGTATGGAAGGGCCTTGAGTTACCGGACTTACTTTCAGTCTAAGACCATCCTTCCGAAATCCGTAGTAAGCGTACTAAATTTCGTTAATTAATTTAATTAAACTTTCCTAATACGTGATAACTCTTAAAATAGTAGCCTATTTTCCAACGTAGGTCATAAGTACGGTGACCATCCGTCCTGTATTATACGGGACAGTCCTCTTTTTTGACCAATTGTCCTGGTAATTTCTTTATTTTATACGGGACGCAAATGTTCTGTATTCCTTTTCACGCCCTGTATTTGTCCCGTATTCAGTGTTCGGCATTTCGATGCCTTAACAACCCATTAAAATGGCATGTCTATGAAACAGTTTTAAGTGATGTTGGTATATGATTGTAATTTTCTCCATAAACAGTTATTAGTTTCTAATCTGAATGCCTGTGATTCGAATAGAAAAATGCATACGTGACCAAAATATAAATTAGGACTCGACATTTGTTTATTTTATGTTTCTTATTTTTTATGGAAGTAAGGCTTTTTTCCTAACAAAAACCATATAAAAAAAATGTCCGACTTTGTGCAAAAACTATAAAAATTAATTCTGCAAAGTTTCACCAAACTTTCAAACTTTTTGATCAGAATCTTTTGAAGGTTTGTAGCTCATTAAAATTCATTATAATAAGGTGCAAGTGCAATGTGTTCTGCTCATTTGCTTCTCTTTTAAAAATATTATCGAACATACTTCGTACGAAAAAAATGCGTAACACCGTCAAAAAAATATAAATCCAAAAATTAACGGTATATCCTAGCTACTTCGAACTTGCATTTTATTGTATTAAAATTTAAGGAATTTTTTGTAACAAATTTTGTGGAGAAAAAATCTCGAGAAAAATATCCTATAGGTTTGAGATGTTACTTTAAGGATGCTCTTTCAGCTCTAATACACTTAGGATCATTGAAGAAGGTTTTAAGATCTGTTAGCTTGTGTGGAAAAAATTGCAAAATTATTTTTTGTCCCGTATTTGGCCCCCATAAATATGGTCACCGTAGTCATAAGCTATCTCTGTGCGAAATGGCATGCAAATCTGTTCAGTCGTTTCCGCGTGTTAGTTTAATTAAAACTTTTTTAACAGGAGGCAACTCTTCCAAAAAATTAGCTTATTTTCCACTGTAGGTCATAAGCTATCTGCTTGCAAAATTTCATGCAAATCCGTTCAGACTTTTCCGCGTATTAATTTAATTCAACTTTTATTACCAGGTGGCAACTCTTA